AAAGAGATTAACAGACTCAATGTTGCTTTGGTGCAAATTAGGAATTAAGTAGGTGATAAGCTAGAAGGATTTTTGCATTGAACCCTCCTGCTTCGAGCTACCTGAGGACACGCCTACTCACCAACAGACTTTTGATAAAACAGCAGATAAGAGAAATGGGAACGGCCCTCATTGTGCTAAACTTGTGCACCTTTTTTACACAAAAAAAAGACAGATTTATAAAATCAACTATAATTCACTCTAAATAAAATGCAACTGAAGGTAAGTAAAAGTTTTCCAGTGCGCATTTTACTGAGTCAACGTTTGTCACCTTCAAAGCAACAGGTGTTTGATGTTTGAAACGCACTGAAGGAACAACTAAAGCAGCACCTTTCTGACCAGCTTCTCCAAACACAAACTGTGTATGATTCAAATATAGGAGATTAGAAAAGTATGAAAATTTTTATTTCAATTTGAAATACAGGCAGCAAATGTGACACAGCATGCATAAATAAAAATGAGTCTTACCTGTTTCCCTTACACAGCTTGGTCCCGAGCTTCTGAGCATTTGGTGTCAGTAAAGGCTCTTGCAGTGGGATGAGGGCTGGGCTGGGAAAGCCACTCACATTACACTCACCACTGTGAAAAATCCCTGTTTTCTGTCCGAGGCTTCCAGAAGTGTGGATTTTCTCCAGTGTTTTATTCATGTTACTCGTGTGGGTTGGCTAGATCCGAGGCATCATCTGGAGCAAACAGCAGAGGCGAGCTGTTGGGCTGGAGAGCGTGCCCAGTTGGAGCAGGCTGACTGACTGGCGGGGCTCTTCTGCTCACAGCTCAGCAGTGCACACACACACACACACACACACACACACACACACACACAAGTTTCTCTAGCTCATCTGCTGCCCACAGGGCTGGCCCAGTGGGGCAAAGTGATCCCTCCTACCCAAACATGATCCACCACAATAAAGATATTTTTAACACAATGACTCTCACAACAGCCCTGCTCACTCTGACCTCATGACTTTTTTTTATTAACAATCACCCCCCTTTTTAAGCTTTTAGACTCACTTTATTTGCAAACTGTGAGTAGCTGGACAAAGAAGACACAAGACAAAGGAACTGAGCCCAAGGAGGCTGTAAAACCAACTGTCCCTTCTTGTGGACCTTGTACGGGTCTGCACTTTAAACCTACTACACTGTAGACTGAAGACAGCTGTAAAGAGTAGCCAGACGGTGCAACAGACTGGTTGTGTTACTTGCTGTGTCACTCAGTGACAGGCTCCACGTGGGGGATGGTTGGGATGATAGTATCGTTCTTAAAGGTAATGTGTAACAGACCTCGACCAGGGGAAATTCAGACCAACACCACAAAGCTTATAAAATAATTAAAGCAAGTTTCCAGCGTGGAAGCTTTTATTTGCCAGAGAATCACCTTTCCTAAACAACCGCTTCAACATAATCCAGTTTTTGGCTTCAGTTCAACCTAAATGTGTTGGAATGGAAATTAAGCTTTAAAAAAATAAGGTGCATTATCCCAGTTGCAGTGATGCAAGGAAGCTTATTCAAACATTTATTTTTCCATGTAACCAATGAATACGAGACGCTTGAGTACATTTTAAATGAATAAACACATAAATGAATGAAAAATCCACTGTTGGAAACTTGATATAAATAAGTAAAAAAAATAGTTTAAAGTGACACCTCTCTTTCCTTTGGGGAGAAAATATGCTAATAAATCCATCCATCGATTTTCTGCCGCTTATTAGGGGTCGGGTTGCGGGGGTGGTAGCTTAAGCAGGGAGGCCCAGACTTCCCTCTCCCCAGCTAATTGGGCCAGCTCCAGGTGTTCCCTGGCCAGCTGAGAGACACAGTCCCTCCAGTGTGACCTGGGTCTTCCGTTAGGTTTTCTCCCAGTTGGACGTGCCCAGAAAACCTCACCGGGGGGGTGTTAAGGAGGCTTCCTAACTAGATGCCCAAGCCACCTCAACTGGCTCCTCTCGATGTAGAGGAGCAGCAGCACTTGGAGCCCCTCCCAGATGACTTAGCTTCTCAGCCTTTCTCTGAGGAAGAGTCCAGTCATCCTAAAACTAATTTCATCCACAATCTCGTTCTTTTGGTCACTAGCCAAAGCTCGTGACCATAGGTGAGGGTTAGAATGTAGATCGACCGAGAAATCAAGAGCTTTCCTTTCTGGCTCAGTTCTCTCTTCACCACGACAGATCGGTACAACGCCCGCATCACTGCAGACGCAACACCAATCCGCCTGTCGATCTTGCGCTCCATCTTTTCCTCACTTGTGAAGAAGATCCCGAGATACTTAAACTCCTCCACTTGGGGCATGACCTCATCCTTGGCCTGGAGAAGACCTTCTACCCTTCTCCGACTCAAGACCATGGTGTCGGATTTAGAGGAGTTCCAGTGATAGCCGGAGATCACGTTCTGATGAAGCAAAACTACATCATCTACAAAAAGCGGGGACTCAATCCTTAGGCCAACAATACAAATCCCCTCAACACATTGGCGGCGCCCTAGAAATTCTGTCCATATCCTGTCCAAACCTATCCAAAGTTATAAACAGAATCGGTGACAAAGGGCAGCCTTTACTGAGTCCAACTCTCACTGGAAACGAGCCCGACTTACTGCCAGCAATGTGGACCAAGCTCTGACACCAGTCAAATAAGGACCTAACAGTCCATATTAGAAGGCCTGGTACCCCATACCCCCCAAAGTGCCCCCATAGGGGGTATGCATCTAGGAATGCGGTCAAACGCCTTCTCCAAATCCACAAAGTACATGTCCACGGCCAGGAAGAAAACCACATTGCTCCTCCTGAATCAGAGGTTCGACAATCTACCAGGAAGGTTCAGGAGCGTGATCCCCCTGTGGTTGGAACACATTCTGCAGTCCCCCTTTTTAAATAGGGGGAGCACCACCCCAGTCAGCCAGTGGAACTGCCCCCGATGTCTACGCGTTATTGCAGAGCTGAGCCAGACAACGCAACTCTTCAACATCCAGAGCCTTAAGGAGCTCTGGGTGCATCTTAACCACCCCCGGAGCCTTGCCACAAAGGAACTTTTTGACCACCTCAGTGACCTCAGCACCAGAGATTGGAGAGCCTAACCCAAAGTTCCCAACCTCTGCTTCCTCACTGGAAGATATGCCAGTGGGATTGAGGAGGTCTTCGAATTATTCTGTCCACCGATCCACAACATTTTGAGTAGAGGTCAGCAGCACACCGTCCCCGCTATAAATGGTGTTGGTAGCGCACCGCTTACCCTTCCTGAAGCGCCGGATGGTGGACCAGAATCTCCTCGAAGCCATATGGAAGTCTTGCTCTATGGTTTCACCGAACTCCTCCCACACCCGGGTTGTTGCTTCTGCAACCACCCGAGCCACATTCTGTCGGTACCCATCAGCTTTCTCTGGAGTCCCCAGGCCAAAAAGACCTGACAGGACTCTTTCTTCAGCTTGTCGGCATCCCTAACCATCTGTGTCTACCAGTGGGTTCAGGGATTGTCACCACGACTGGCACCGACCACCCTGTGTTAATAAATACCAACAGATTATGAAGTTTATTTGTTTATTTGAAACATGTTAAAAGGTAAATTTATTTTACATGTCCTTTTGATTACAATGGCTCAGGAGTCAGATGTTCACTGGTGGGATGCCAGTTCGAATTCAGGCTCCATCCATGCCAGTTCACCGTCCTTGCCTGCAGGTGGTGGTCAGCGGGACCCGGTGGTGCAACAGCAACACGAATCATTTACATGACCAATAGAGTTGTGCATCCATAAGAAGCTGTCCAGCAACAAGAATGCGTCCCAGTACCCAGCACTCCTACTACTCTGCACTGGGGATGTTGTGGATGAGTCTCGGTCAGCTTAGCACAGAAACACATCTTAAATTTTTAACTCAACCTGCATGAAGTTACTGTAATGCCCTGTCCCATTACTCGCACTTCCATCTTTGCGCGTTTCCGCCCTGTGGTGCGACTGCGTAGGGTGTCCTGATTATCAAGTGTGGACCTTGGCCCCGCCCCTTTTATATCCATGATCCACATTTCGGGCATTACCCACAATCCATTGCTGGGCTGACAAGGCTGAGAAATGGCTCAAGAGCCCTTTCCAAAAATGTGTATGTTAAAGTTAAGTATTGAATATTTTATTATTGTGTATATGTAGGATTACAACAAATGTGTCTCTGTTGTAAAGATGCATTAAAAGCCTTTAGAAAAATATTGTTAACAGAAAACAGTACCGGTGTGTATTTTTGGACAGGATATGCAAACAATTTCATCACTTTTAATATTTCAAGCAGCAAATTAGCTCAAACAGTAAACGGCATCTTTATTTGGAAGTTGTCGAGTTACAACGAAGTGATGCAGGTCGATGACGCAGTGCACAGTCCCAATTCTGCAATTATTTACACGCTTTTCCACAAACAGCACTTCAAAGAGGACCGTGGGCTGCAGTGTGGGCATAGTGACCGGGCCCAACTCTAAACATCAAGCTAACAGTGGAAGTGAAGGGAGAGGTGAACAAAAAGGGATTCATCTTATGTTTATTGGAGATAAGCAATTAGTGCAGCGTTCAACTTTGGATTATCGCTTTAACCTGTTGTAGCGTTAGCAGGGGTATGCTAGCATCATGAGTGCCAGATTTACATTGGTTTTAAAGGTTTTCCTGCTTGAACACTGCAGATTTTATCAAATCAAGTGGTTATCAGCTCCTGCAGAACCCATTGAAGGCTAGATAATTTAGCAGTTATAATCAGGTTTGTCTGAGCAGGAACATATCATAAACATGCAGCCACATCGGCCCTTCTTTAGCGCTACGAGTCTATCTGTGTGCGTGGCATAAGACGTGGCTTTCAGCTACTTCCAGAAAGCGAGGAGGAGTAGGAGCAGGAGCTACAGCTGCTCAAATTTCCAAATCTTCTCCTCAATGACTTCACAGCCCCAGCTTTAACACCCAATAACAACAACCATTTAAAAAAATACAGAAATAACATTACAAAAGTCTTGATAAAAGTTTTAATCAGAACACTCACGGACAACAAGTGTACACATCAGTGACATTTCTAATTCTTAAATATAAATCAAAATATCATCTAAAGAATATTCACCATTGGCCAGAGCTGATCCGTCCAATGCATCCAGTATTATTTTAATACATATTTTTAATAAACCCATTATCCAGAAATCATTCAAATAATTTATAGATTTGTTCTTATTTAACGCTCACAACATTTTGCATTAAATGCACAACGGACATTACACAAAATAAAATAAATCTAAAATGCGTAAAGAGAATATTTGCATATTAAATTTGTATCTTTTATGCAGGCTGGTGATGACTAAAAAGAGGTTTTACAAATGACCAGGTCTTCTTTTGTGTTGTGGGATTTAAAAAAAAACATAAAAGAAGATGATTTCCTCCTGGAAGAAAAAAAAGGAAATTACAGGCTTGTGTTAAAAACTTTAGACGCGGCAAAGAGCTTGATTTTGCGTACCATGAGTGGTATGAGTTCCAACATTGTTATGGACCGGCCTGAACACCGTCTTCATTCTAAAAACAAATGGGTATAATCGGTTATACATTTCAAAATCAGGTCAGAATCAAGTTGGTGGGTCAGAGGAAGCATATTTTCACACCCTTTAAAAAAAAGTTTAATTTCTTGTCATTTAAGCACATTTTCTGATGCCTTTTCTATTTTTACAGATCATGATATCCATGAGAATCACCACTGTTTACAGTATAAATAGGAGATAAAACTAAAGAAAAAAAAAAACAACACAACTAAAGCTAAACAAAGTCCAAAAGAGGAATTCCAGACCTCTTCTTTTCACGGTCAAGTTCTTTAAATAAACACAAAAAAGCTGCTTGGATTATCAGGAAAAGAACTCAAAGTGAGGACTAACCTCTTGTTCTGATAATCCTTGTGACTTTAGGACTGCTGGGTGTTTTGTAACTGGAGAAACGGGTGGAAAAGCAGAGTTGGGAGGTGACTTTGGCCTGTGGGATAGAGACTGGCTCCTTTTCACCGCTGAGGACACCGCCTGGGCGAAGCGGGAAGGAGTTGATGGAGTAAACGGCCGTGGAGCTGCAAAACTCCTCAATTTTTCCAGACTCAGCCCAACGTTTGGCTCCCTAGCTGGCAGACTGCTCTGCCTCGTCATTCGTGCGAAGGATACGTTCTTATCATCCCGCTGGGGGCTCAGCGGAACATTAGTGGCCTCTGCCGTCTCTCCTTCCCACACTGCAGGAGGTGCAGGAGGAGGAGGAAGAGGAGGTGACGGTGGTGGGGGAGGAGGGGGCGGCAGCATTGCTCGCTCTGGAGTCTCCTTGAGGCTGAGGCGCTTCTCGGCAGCTGAGGTTACATAATATCCAGGTGTTTTTTTGTGCTGTGCCAAGCGGAAAGAAGCAGGCTTGGGTTTAGTTGCAGGTGGAATTTTCATTTCCTTGACCTCTGCTGGCGAGGCTGGTGGAGACGCAAGATTAGTGGAGGACAAGTTCTCATCTGGGCTGCGTAAAGTCAGTGAGGAGGGGTATGTAGGTTCAGGTCCATTTACAGTGTGTTGAGTAGTAGTACTAGTAGTATGAGTAGTAGTAGTGGCGGTTACTGTCCTAGTCAGCAAGTCTTCCCTGGGTAAAACTGATTGTAGCTCACTTGTGTCTTGTGAGACTTCATTCTGTCCCTTCTGTGTCGTGTTCTCATCTAAACTCAGAGACCCAACGTTACGTCCCTCTACGGGAGCTTGAGCAGGAGCCTCCAGTGTCAGTGCAACTTCAAAGTATCTCAGCTTCTCCAGAGATTTCTGAGGCACTATGGTGTACGTCGTCATCCCCACTTTGGGGATGTAGTCTCTCGTCAGCTCGTTGGAAGGCTTCGGTTTCGGCTCGGCGTTTGTGGCGTACAGAGATGGCGCTTTCGTTGCAGCAGGCACACCCGGTGTGCAGCTTGCAGGGTGGAGCGGGGCGTGTTTGAGGTCAGGTGGTTGCATCTCCTCTGTCAGAGTGGCTGTATCTCCTTTCTCCACAGTTTGTACGCATTGAGACGTTGCTGATGAAGGAACTTTCTCCTCTTGTTCCTGCGGAGGAGGCGCAGGAATTCTTGTGAAATCCGTTTGCACTTGAACGTCTTCTCCAGCGGTTGCTCCGTCGCTCTGCTCCTGGAGGGTTTCGGTGTTATTTTCACTGGAGGCCTGCACTTCAGCATCCTTCATCTGAGGCACAGGAGGAGCCTTGCTGTCCCCTTCAGCTTGATCAGCTGCAAACTCTTCATTAATGGACTGTGAGCTAAGATCTTCAGTGGGTCCGCCATCTGCAAAATAAAAAGAAAAAAATCGTTATGGAAAAAAGTATTGAGAATATCTTTTTAATTAAGGACATACTCACCTCTAACTACAAGTGAGTCTGCACCGTCACTTTTCTGTCCACTCGGAGCTGCAGAATCATTCACAATGCTCTCCAGCAGACTAGAACACAACATAACATACAAACCTGCTGATATCAATACATATAAATACCGCACAACCATGCATAGCAGTAGGAAAGTTCGTACTTGTCATGTGAGGACAGGTCAGGACACTGATCTTCCCCATTTTCCTGCACGGTGCTCCTGGACTCAATATCAGGCGAAGGTGAAAGAAGCGAGACTTCAGACGACATGCTGAGGCTGCTGAATTCTTCTCGGTTGCTGCAAGCAGCTGCAGATATTACAGACCCGCCCGTCTCCTCCTGCTCCGTGATCTCCTGCAGCGTGTTAGCATTCGCAGTCACTATAAAACACAGAAACACGTCAGTCTAGAGAATCCAGTGTGGCATTCCTATTGATGACTTCGTGTCTGGCCCAGCTGAACACTAGGTTTGTTTCTCTTCCAGCCTCTGAGGCCTGTTGATTTGGACGCTACAGGAAGTCTTAACACAGAGGAGCGGTGAGCAGCAGGAATTTCAAGGCTACTTAAACAAAGCTCACCGTTTTCCGCCTCTGATCTCGGTGTTTACAAAGTCACAAGTGACATAACAGGAGGTGGTCATGCTCTATAAAGTTAGTGTTAAAAACACCGGCTGATAAAACTAGTTTTGGGAAATAAATGTTCTAATTTATTATCAAGAAATCTATAAATTACATCTGATGTGTTGGTAAAAGAGACAAAAACGAGCATCACTGTTTTAAAGACAGTTTTAAGTCAATAATCAATGAGACTGGAACTTTTTTATTGTTATTTAGTAGAGTAAACATCCCAAAGAGGGGAAAATTGTGTTTTTGATGTTCAAAATTGTCATTTCTGAGGTTATAGGGCAGAGCTATTCAATTCTGGGCCTCGAGGGCCGGTATCCAGCACGATTCAGTGGTTGAATCACCTGTGCAGCAGCTCAACAGGCTCTGCAGAAGCCTGTTAATCACCTGCTAATTGAAATTAGGTGTGTTGAAGCAGGGTTAAAACCAAAACGTGCTGGATATGGCCCTCAAGGCCTGGAATTGAATAAGCCTTTTATAGGGTTAGGGTAAATTAGGCAGTATTGGCTTGCATTTAGCACCCCCTAGTGTTCATTTACTAGAACCAAAAGCAAAACTTTTCTCCTCGCTGTGCTTTTGTCTTTTTAACACCTTAATCTAACTGTTGAAATGTCTCCCCAGCCTTCATTAGTGTCTACAGGAGCGGTCCATCACAAATCAGCTGTATTCACGATCTAAAACATGCAGGAAACATGTTGGAAGCAGACTGCAGCGCCAGGTGTGTCAGTTCTATTTTTTCGGAGTCCAACAGGTGGCGGCCGCCACTCTGAAGTTACAAGTGTGATATTCTGGTCACAGAGGGCTGTGGGGGCCTGAGTGACATTTCATCAACCCTGTAAAGGGCCGTTTTAGCACGTACTGGCTCAAGAAAATTATTTAAAAATATGAAAAAGTTACCTGGTATGCCTTTAACAGAAAGACATAAAAAGTAAAAGAAAATAATCTGATTAAATCTTGTAAAACCTCCTTTCATCCTCGTGTAGTCAAAATAAAACCCCTTTAATCTGCAGTAGATCAAAATAAGTGCAGGTTTTAAAGCTCTTTGTGAATAAAAGCACTAAAGATGCGTAACAGGATGAGAAAGGATAATATGGTCTACAAATGTAAACCAGCCTAAAAAGATCCTTTTTTTTGTATTTTTTATAAATATTTGGAAATTCCTTTTCATTTCTACTTTACAGTATTTGCTGCATATACAGGACGGGTGGAGTTTCCATTAACAGGACAAAAGGGTCCAGCTGGTCCACACAATCACAGGAAAGTAGATCAAAACTAAAATTATACACAACTACGCTGGGGAACATTAAACTTTATGGGAATAAGCTTCCTAGAAATTGTTTGAGGAACAGAGGAAATAACAGAATGAGGAAAAACGTAATGGGTTTAAGCAAAAATCACATTTATGCAAATAGTAAGAGCGTGTTAAATGAAGTTAAATCAAACGTAATGTGTGAAATAAAAATATATCGATTTCACACAGTGATAGAGTCCATTTGAGTTTTGATTTTTCTTAAATTCAGCACATCTCTAGAACAACCACTTGGTGGCGCAAAAGCCAAAGGAAGACTGAATGGGTCCTAGTTTTCCCAGCTGAAAGGGCCAGCTTTTCTTCAACATCTGATCCAAATTTGTTTAACAGCCACTGTAACGGAGAATAAATCTTGTGGAAAACAAAATAAAGTAAAGACAAACCTCCTGAGAGTCCGTCGTTACTAATGGTCTCTTTGAGGACAGAACTTAGAGAAGTTGGAGGTGGAGGAGCTTTACGTTTGGTTCTCCTCAGCGAAGACTCTCCAGTAGACCATCGGTTCACACCAGCCACCTTCACAACAACATTCACCAACAATCAGATCACGACTGCTTCAAATGACAGGAGCTGTCACAGTCCACCCACCTGATCGCTGTCAAACTGGGGGATCGGCTCAGAGTTGAGTCTCCGACGGATGGCGACGTCTGAGTGACAGCTCTGAGACGCCAGGATTGGGGGCTGGGGGGCGCGTCTCTTCTTTGGCATGTCAAGGATGGTGGGAGAGCCGAGCGGGGATGAGTTGGAGCTGGGTAAGGCCATGCTGAGTGGTCGAGGCTTGCTGACAAGCACGGGGGAAGCTGGAGCGCTGGCTGTTGTTGGCTTTAAAGAACAGACATCCAATCAGAACGTGACGAGAGGCATGTTTCCAAACGACACCGTGAACATTGACCAGCCACAGCACAAAAACCTCCCTCAGAACGTTCAGAACAATTCCATATTCACCTGACTGACCGACTTTTTCTTGCTTCTTCTAAACATGCTGAACATGCCTTTATTTTCCTTCTCCTTCTGATGTTTATCTTTGCCTGGTGTCACTTCTCCTGTAAAACAACAACAACAACAACAAAAAAAAGAAAAGCTGCTGTGAGGAATCAGACAAACAGCAGCTCTGTTAAAGTCAATATTGCAGCTTGCAGGGGACAAATACCAGAACACGCTGAAGAGTTTCGAAACACAGGAGAGTCGGCTTGTCCTGCAGAGAAAACAAGCCTGAGATTTAGTGCACGGCAAACGGCGTTCACAGGGAGGCTCGGAAAAGCTCGGATCCAGGTTTGGGAGAACTCACGTTTAGTGTCTTTCGCATAAACCTCCCGTATTTCATAATCATTTAGGCAGTTGGACAAGTCTAGCGGAGCCAGTGATGTGACATCTCTCAACAGGACTGTAGTCTCCACATCAAATTCACATTTCTCACAAATTGCTGGTAAATGCTCACGGAGTGGAACTCGAGGATTAACTCGTAAAATCGTTTTCTGGGTCTTTTTGTAGTTTATCACCATCCGAACAGTAGCCTGGAGAGGAAACAATGAGACTTTGATCTTTGACTCAACAACAAATGTATTTATTATATTTCTAAACACACCTCAGGCATCTGCGGTCCCGTTTTCTTATTCGAGTCCTCCCCTTTAGGTTTTAAAATGATTTTTTCTGCATCCAGAGTTCCTAGAAGAGCGTTGGGTTTGAGCTTGATGTTGTTCCTGTTGGATGTGACCAGTTCTAAAGTGTGGCCCGATGGGTTCAGGTGATACTGTGCACAAAGTGTCACTAATAGATCCATCAGGGGTGTGCTGAAAGAAAAATACAATTAAAACAGTTAACATTAAAATTAAGATTTTTCAACAAAAAACTGAGTTGAAACAGAATCAACTCACTTATTTTTGCTAAACGGTCATTAAAATTGTAATAAATATTTAATATTTTCTACTAATTAGACCAAAATGCATTTATTCCATGTAATATAATATAAAACATAATAATCATGAAGCTGAAACTATATACAGCATATATTTTTTTGGCTTGAAAAGATGAACAATTGATATGCAAACAAAAGTTACTTATTTTCCTTCTACTAAGTTCATAAATTCAAAAAGAAATTAAAAGCACTCTTGTTTAGCACAATGAGTAGGCCCGTTTCCACTACTTCCGGGTAATTTCACCAGACAATCACGGCACGCCTGTGTCTCCGTTTCACCGGCAGTCCAAAGGAACCATCTTCTGGGACATTTCAGGAACTAACGGAACTGGTGTGTGTCGCTGGGCGGGACTCGAGGTCAACTCATCCTGATTGGTTGTTACTCGGTAGGAAATGACATCGGGAGACGACAAAAACACAGTACGCATTTGTAAAACTGGAAGAGCTGCTGGTGAAGCAGAATGAAAGTAAATTAAAATCGCCATTTCTAAAGTCCCAACATTGAAAAATGCAGCTGAAATCTCCCCACAGCGTCGTCATTTACATCCCGTTATGTCTCAAGGAGCGCTGTAAAAGCGGTGCGTCGTCTGTCGTTGAACGCTACTTTTTTACTTCACACAACTATTCTCCGCGTCTCCTAAATTGATTCAATTATGATGTACTTTGACAGAATGAAACTTTTTTTAATGTCATTAATTTCCATGGACGCCTTTGAGTGATCACTGCTGAAACAGTTCAGTCTTAGCAAAGTCCTAACGGGTAGACTCAAAGGGTGAGAGGACCGAGCCATCATATTTTTCCTGTCACCTTTCCGCCTTCCCGAAATTTCCCGGAATGCCAATAGTGGAAAAACGGCTATTGGTGAAGTCAACAAGAATGTGGGAAAAGAACACTATAAAACAAATGTATGATTATGCATCTTTGCAACAGATTTTGTGAAACAATAATAATGTTAAAATATCTGAAATTCAGCCTCAGAATTCTAACTCTGTTTTAGATGCAAACTGAGCCTCACAGGGAGCAAAGGAATGTAGATTTAATCTCTGCACACTGGATTATTCTGAGCAGGCCAAGGTGCAAAGGATGCCTCTGAGAAAACTAACAGAAAGATTGTGATATCTTATGTAAACTCAGACAGAAAAGGATCATCGGACCTTGCTCTGAAACACACAGACACATGCTGATCTGATTAGTAAATCCAGTCCCAGTTTACGTGTTGAACTGGCTTGCACAAATAAAATATTTTTTTTTATTTCACAAACTCATTTTTTGCCTATGAGAGAGTCAAAATAAAACAAATGCATCGAATAAGTAAAGCTCCTCCACCCATCTGACTCAGCCTAATCAAAGCAGGGCGTCATGTGATGACTTCATCTCCCATCAGCCCCATGCTGTGGAATTTAAATGCAAGAGCAAAACCACCGTGATACCTTCCATGAACCAATGTCCTTTTTTCCACTCCTCCGGGCAGAACCACGGACAAAGAGAGCTCTTTATCGATCAGGTTCTCCTTCTGGTCCATGGTTAAATGAGGGTTTCCTGGGTGCCACTGGGTGAAACCTGAAGAATCCAGCTTCTTCAAGCCTGGCGGGGACGGAGCTTTGTTTTTAGTGGACAGCCTGCAGATAGAAAAGAAAGTGTCAACTGCTGGGCTTGCTCTGCATATTAAAATTAAAATGGTTCTTTCTTTCTGCAGGTTTTATAAAGCAGCACCCAAGTGGTCAGGGCCACTTTGTTTGCAAGTCTCATGACACCCAAGAGGACAGATTTGCTCACTCAGGCTGAAGAACCGACTTTAGATGAGTCATTGGTTTTAATTATAAGTTATCAATAAGTGTAAAGTATCGTAGTGTTTTGCATCGGCTAGGACATTTTTTACTTCACATATTTTCTTTTCCATGTGTTTAAAATGTTTGTCTGCAAGCTACGACACCACACACACATAGATAGAAACATTACACAAAGAAATCCATGCAAACAAAAAAACAATGAAATGCAATCCCATTCTACACCAGCTTTGTGATTTTCTGTAATTAGGTCATCTGATAGACATACATGTGGGTTTTAAATAGAGATTCACAACTTTTGCAACTAAACAGAAACATTATTTCCTTTCAAAAGTGCCGTCGTTGCTACGATAAAAGATTAGCTGCAAGGCCCACTTGCCCAGAGATGAAAAACAGCCGATGTTATGACAGGAAAAAGAAAAGACAGTGTAAACAAGAGATCATATCTGCTGTGGATCCAGAGAGGTTAGAAACATGCAGCCAGTTGGTGAGCACGCTGACAGAAGAGGGTTTTGTAGATCTAGTGCTCTGAATTATGGCCTGTAAAGTCTGACGTGTTGGTCCTGCTTATTCAAACAGAGGAATTCGAGCAATGCGTCACGGTCACGGGCTGCACTGAAGCACGTCTAACAAAGGGTTATTGGTATCTCTGAGGCGATGGATGCCTTTAAACACTTTGAATATTAGATAAATATTCACACAAACGTACTACGGCAAATGTTTATTTTGATTCCAGGTTATTCTGGAACAATTGAGGTAATTTTGGGTATATTATATAACTCAAAAGCTGACACAAAACACAGGAAAGTCATTTTATGCAAATGACAGATAGCTGCAAAATGCATCTAATGCCAAACTAACAATATTAAATAATTGCTATGAATATTAACTCAAAGATATCCAAATATGAAGATTATTCTAAGGGGAATGACAAGATGCAACAGAAACCAGGAACTTCAAAGTCTGAAGTCACAATATATTTTTAATACAACATAACTTTTGGCCTCTTTGATTTTTTTTATTTCAAATGTAAAGTAATTATTAAATCCAATCATTAGTCTGTATTTTTAACTAAATGCAGGTTGTTTTAATAAGGCTAGCATGAGTTATTAATGTGACCTGGGGGGCCAGATGAGGCCGGTGGAACATCTCTTAAGTCCTTATTTATAAACTAAACATCCTAAAATAAATAAATAAAAGTTTTCATTTAATTACTGAATTTCCAGGGAATGAAAACCTACACTCTAAAAAATAAAATGTTGAATTTACTTAACCAAGTAATGTCAACTGGTTCAACTAAACCTAGTTTCTTAAATGGAAATAATAATATACATTTTTAACAGAACATTGTATATTATTATTTATATCTAAGCATTTGGGTTTAGAGGAACCAGTTCACATAACTTCAACATACATTTTTTAGAGTGTATTAAGGTTTTTTTTACTTGTTGCAACAATGAACAACTTCCATGTTTTGGTACGAAATGGACCTAAACTGTTCTTTCAAGATTGCATTGGTGAAACCAGAATTTTAGAAATTAAAATCTACATACAAAAACGAAATCCATTCGACATTTTTTGTCAAAACTGCAGACAAAAGATCTTTGGTGTGTTCTTACTGTGTTTAGTTTCTAATTCCATTTTTGGGTTTTTTTAAAACACAGGAAAGGTTTTTCTTTACCTTGCTGACGTACGTTTCGTTTGCCGACTGCAAAACAACCTCAGAGCTGACGCTGAAGGTGGCGTCACTTCCTATTCCGTTTATCTACCATCAGCGTCAGCTCTGAGGATGTTTTGCAGTCGCAAACGAAACGTACGTCAGCAAGGTAAAGAAAAACCTTTCCTGTGTTTTAAAAAGAACCAAAAATGGGATGCAGACAAAAGATTTCTGTTCCTCTAGGAGCTAAAATCAATCAGCACAACGAAGCCATACCAGACAACTGAAACGGTACGGTTACCAAGAGCTAGTTAACTTGTTTTTGTTTATTCTCCTCTTCTACGTGACGGTAAAGAGTTGAAAAACCTGATTGAAGATAAACAGAAAGAGTCAAGCAAACTCAGCCAAAAGAGAGCTTACCTGTCTCAGATCACACTGGATTGCTGCAGCTACTCTTAAATCCATAAAACAATCCAAATCCCTGCAAAGCCTCTCTAAACATCCAAACTGTCAAAACTCAGTTACAAAACTTACAAAAGTCTTGAGAATCTGACTTTAAGTGGAAAAACCCCTAAAAGAAAATGTATGGCATTTAAACATTACGTTAAATTAGATTTTTTTTAATGAGTAAATGTTCATTCAAGTTAAACTGCATGAGTATGTAGTAAATACACTGAAGGTGGACATCTATTAAATATTCTGTTTAAAATGTTTGAACTATATTTTGTAATTAGCACAGAATAATGTTGAAATTTATATTACTTTGCAAAAGATAAGAGTTCATTAAAAAGCCTTTAGAGCATGCTACTTTTTGAATATGCACAACCCAAAAGATCTAACCCCCTTACTTCAGGTGTTCCCAAAGCCACACCTCCAGAATAAGGAACTCTCAATGTTTGTTCCCAAGGGTCCAGTTTTATGTTCTCAACGCGTCGTTAGCAGCTCTTCTGCCACCATTCCTGATGTAATGCATCTGCGTAACGGTATATTTACAATGCTAGCTAATATAGCTTGGTGTTTATATTATAAAAAAGGAGGCTGTTTTTAACTTTCCCAGTTTAGTCTCAACTTCAAAATTACAGCAACTCAGTGCCACAAACATCTGACAAAACCCCACAAACAAAAGGTAAACACTTCCGGAATTTACCTTGAACCTCATCAGGCTCTCTGTCTTCACTCTGATGGCTACACACACACACACACACACACACACACACACACACACACACACACACACACACACACACACACACACGTTGCCATGGCAACAGGCAGACAGCTCTACCAGGATAGGCTGCATTCACAGACAACAGGTCCGCCACCTAAGCATTTCCCAACAAGAGCAGAGCCAGACTTTAAACAGAACACATAAAAAATTGGATGAAAACATGCAAACACAAACAAAACGGAACATTCAGTCAGTTAAAAATGCCAGCCTGGCTCTAATTCCTGTTCAGCTACTCAAAACCGAGAACAAGTCCTTCATGATGAAATTATTTTTTTTTTTTTGACAACACATTTCTGGTTATTGGTTACTACCGGTGTGTGAAGATCACTTCAAGCCAAAAATGCTGCAGAAATGGCTCATCCACCTTTACTGTTTTTAAAACAAAAACAAAAAACATTAGTTTTGGATTATTGTGATTTTTTTAAAATTAGATAAATCTAACCTATTAAAGGGCGTCTTCCATGTTAAACACATGCTGAAGCCCGGTAACAAGATGGCACCTGTGCTTGGCTTAGCCTCAGTCACCGGCCACTTATTCAAACTTTCCTCCACTAACCTCCTCTTTTCCACCTTGCTCCTGTCTGCGATCCTCTTCAGTAGTGTCCCTGCTACCATCTCCTATGATTTCCAGACTCTTTTATCCTTCCGTTCGTTCACGATCGCCCAAGACGCACCGAGGATGTACCATCCTGTTTGTTTACCTGAGTGGCGCACTGGCCCGGAGCCAAACGACGATTCCAACCAGGGCGCCTCCGGCTACGTTTATCCGGTCCCGGGAAACCGTCGGAGGAAAAGAGGTAAACGAGCAGAAATCCAGGTGAGAATAAGACTTCTCTTAAAGCGTGGTTTATCTAGTAAACATCAACAGGATCTTCTAGCTTCTTGTCCTTTGGTTGGTGACTTGAGCGCCACTTCCGCATTCCCGCCAGGCCGCGTTGCGGCGCGGTTTCTCCATCCCAGTTTTTTAAAGTCAGTTTATCTTCATTCCTCAGTGGTTTCTCCTCCTGTTCCCTCCATAAGTGTTTTTTATAAACACCATGCATCTAACCCTGCTAATTTCCGTCCACTAACTCCAGCTGTTTCTGTAGTTTCTGATTCCTCCACCTCACTCAGCATGGCTCTATTAAACACCCGCTCTGTTAACAATAAGACCTTCCTGCTCAATGATCTAATTCTCTCTAAAAACCTGGATTTTCTGATTCTGACTGAAGTTTGGCAGCAAACATCTGATTATTCTGGTCTGATTGAATTCTGCCCGAGTGGTTATTCTTTTCTTAGCCAGCCCCGGGGTTCTGGTCGTAGTGGAGGCCTAGCTGTTGTTTTCAGAGACGATCTTCCATGTAGCTCTACAACCTCTGGTCACTTTGCTTCCTTTGAACTGCAGCTGATTAAAGTCGGGCGTAAGAACCCGTTCTACTGTGCTGTGGTCTATCGTCCACCTGGTCCAAACAGTTCTTTCCTTCAGGAGTTTAGTGACTTTCTGTTACAACCCCCTCAAGTCCAGGAGGGTATGGGGTTGAAACATAGCCCAAAGTGAGTCATTTAAGGTAATTTCAAATGTTTTTATTTTTAAAGCTCTTCCGGCGGGTCTCCTGCATATGCACCCGGTGACAGAACAACCAAAAATCTCCCTGAAACTCAGGGGAGGGGTCAAAAATCAATAAACAATAAACAGTCTTTTAATGAACAGAAATCAACAGGCAGGAGCTTAAGATAACTAAAACCGCTAAACCAAAGGGCAGGAGGAAGCATGGCCTCAAAACACAGTGTGTCCTTTTAAAATCCACGAGAGAGAGAACTTTCCTTAAAACCAACCACGGTCAGAACACCACTTGGTTTTAAAATATATATCAAATGAGAGAGAGATACGACACTGGGAGTTATTTAGCTCTGTCCACCAGCACACAACCGGGGCTTAAAACCAGTCAGCGGTATCGCACATAAAAA